ACCCCTATTCTTTATATTAGTCGAGACTATGGTCCATCCTGCAAATCTTCGCTGAACTGCCTGATCACAGCATTAACTATACATCTATGGACTCCCTTTGTTTGGCTTTTTACGTTCTTTTAGTATGTGGGCCGTATAGGGCACAGAGCCTACCCGATCGTCTGGTTTCTTACTTCTCTCTGCCGTGATTACTGTAAAGCTTTGTCCGCAGCCTGCAAATCTCTATCAAGTCTCTAAACCCACGCATGCCTCCGTACAGCGATTATAGATAATATAGGTGTTTTTCAGCTTTATTTATAAATCCGAAAAAGTCTGTGATTATGAAGATTTATGCTGTTATGGTGATTATATGCTCCTCTAATTCTTTATTATTTATTGCTTTACGATGCCTTTGATTCGTGATTTTTTGCATTTTTCCCCTAGAAATCTCCAAGAAAAATCAAATTGTACCTGAAAATCGCCAATAGACGAACAGCAATGTAGAGATCAGTACCGTTACTGTAGTAACAATCAAGATAACCGTACGAGTGTTGCGATGATGTTGCGGTCGTCGCTGTTGCTCCGCCTCTTGCGAAGTTTTGAGCAACGGTACGTCCGTCGCCTTCGCCGCTTCGCCGTCCGCGCCATTCTGACACAAAAATAGAATCATACCATTTGACGATGTACAACCTAAAAAATATCTCAAAACTACTTTGGAGATGATTTTGACCATTAGAGTTAGGGTGTCGTCTGGTTTGTTCTTCTCTTCAATGATTTTTTTGCACTAATAAGTAGTGAACGAGCTGTGAACGATGGGTGTACGATCACTTCGGATGTTTCCTTAAAGTTCAGAAAACTCTACGATGAAAGCCATTTGTTAAAGCGGAACCAGTTCGAATCATCAATAAAGAAAGACAGAGAAATGCATGGAATTCACTAGGAAAGCGCCTGTCGCCGCCACGCACAACAATTCCCAAACGGGAGAGCTCTGATTTTGAGTCTCCATTTGGGATATGGCTGCTTCGAATAGGAACTGAGAAGGCAGAATACACTACTGGACGATAGGTGCGAGTTACAAGTTTGAAATAAAAAGCAGTCTTACAGACAGGCGTCTTCTTCTCCTTCGAGGATTCAAAAATCTGAGGGGAAAAGAAAAAGGGTAAAGAGAAATGGGAGAGAAGGACAAGTGTCTGGGAACACAAGAGGTAGATTGCTCATTGCACCTCTTGAGCAGTTCTACTGCGAATACCTAAGTAGTCATTAAGGATGGGTGCCTGAGACTTTTACAAGAAGAAAATGTTATGACGTCATGTGTAACATTAGCAGCCCGAACTTAGCAAAGGTAGTTATTAATTGGAAAAGAAGATTATAGGATGCGCATACAGCTACTGGAGAAGGAGAAGGGATGTTTACGAAGGTACTGTAAATATTTGCCCATCAGAAGGAGGTGGTGTAACGGCAAGGAAGGGCACTATCTGAAACGCATGGCCCGATGATCCAATCGCAGCTCCATACTTGCCCGGCCGACCAAGCCTAGCTTACCTCTGGGGTCGGCCAATTGGTATCAGACTCATCTGGGAGGATAAAAGCACTGACTTGTACATTGGCTGGCTGCCGAAGTCATTGTATAAGCCATAAACACATTCAAACGCCCCTACGATTCTAAATGGAAGTCGAAAGCAGGGCGTACATCAAAAAACGGAATTGATTCATGTCAATAACTCAACCCATTCCCCTTTAAACTCAAAATAATAGGTTATGATATGTAGTAGGTAATGAGCTGTGGCAAAGTGAATTGAGTTGCTGGTAATGAAATCTTTTGTTCGGAAAACTGGGTATAAACAAGGGCCAGCCTAGACAGGGGCTCTTAAGACCCTTTTCAGTAACTTCTTGTAACTTCTAAGTAAATTATGACCAAGAGTTTTTTTTCAAAATGAGATTTTGTTAAAAAAACGCGACTTCATCAAATTTTTCCAAAAATAGCACATTATCTCGGCTCATGGCACAGAATATATAATAAAACTTATCCGACCCAATGGGCAATGACTACTTCACTCAGAGAAAGGGCTTGATGTGATTTTGGAGTGTGGAACTCATTTTCAATCAAAAAACTCAATCAAAAATAGTAAATGACCTTGTGGAGCAAGAGAAAAGCAAATTTTCTGCATCAATGAAAATCAATTAGTGATGTGCGAAAAAGGCAAATACTATGACGAACTTCTGGTTGAAATGAGACTTTTGAAGTGGGCGGAGTCGTCTATTAGAGCCATTTTCTACAGAATCTTAAAATGTCCTCAGAATTCTTCATGAGCACGAGATTCCTTAAGGTTTAAATTAGCACAGTCATGATCTGGAAAGGTCTAATTATGAAGCCATAATGGGAGTCTTGGCGAACTTCTGCAGAAGATGTCTCAATTAGAAGAGCTTCAGTTGATTGTACTGGACTTTGATGTCTGAGAATGTTTTTCCTCATCAAAAGGCACAGTTAAGTAGATAAAGCTGTACAAAAGACGATAAAATGGTCTAATGTCTGGTTATGGAAGGGCAGTCTAGAACCCCACTAAGCCCCCCTTCCCACCTCCGCAGTTTTAGAGGGATTACTGTAGCGTTGCAAGTTTCTATAGTGATAGCATAAACGAGGTGCAAAAATGTCAGTGCAATTAAGCAGTTCCTGAAAGGCAAAACAATTTATGGGAAAAGTTAGA